CATTTCCTAACAAATGGGGCAATGTCATTCTTTCTGATGGAGGCATAGAATTCCATTGTGTATATATACCACATTTTCTTGATCCATTCATCTACTGAGGAGCATCTCACAAAGGTGAAATACCTATGTGCATCTGACCGTATAAAATAATATTTAACCAAAGGAACTCCAAAAATATAAACTAAATATATTTTTCTTTGTTGCTGTTTTTATTTTCTTTTCCTTTTGTTATATTTGTTTGTTTATCTGTCTTTTGGAGGGTAAGAGGCTCACAGAAAGGGAGTGACAAAAATTGAACAAATGCAGCAGTGACATTCAAGGGACACTGCTGAACATGAACTATACAACTTGTGGGTGGGGACAGAGAGAAAAAGTGGGAGACAGCAAGGGAAGGGATAATATTGTTCAAAAGGAAATGTACTATACACCTGAAATATGTAACTGTAATCCACCTATATAATAACAAAGACATGTATGAAGAAAAAAATTAAAAAAATAGATACTTATACATATAAACAAACAACAACAAAAACAAAAACAGACAAAGAGACTGGAGATATGGTTAAATGGTAGATCACCTACCTCACAAGTGTGAGGCCCTAAACTCAATTCCTAGAACCTCCAAAAGATGAATAAAGGTCATTTTTTGTTGCTTGATAATTGTCAAAATTTTGTCTGATTCTGGCTATATTAATGGAATGAAGAGTTCCAGGTAAAACAGTTGACAAATTTCAACATTATTTCATGATAAATATATGTAATAAATAAGATCTGGAAGAAATGTACCTGCCCGCAAAATGAAGGCCACATATGAAAAGCCTATAAGCTAATATAGACTCCAGGGTGAACACTAAATTTTTCTTTCTAAGGCCAGGAAAAGACTATGAGGTTCACTGTCATTGTCTATATGACCCAGCTACAACTAGAAAAGTAAAGGAAAAGAAGGACACCAAATTGGAAAATGAAACTATGTGTATTTGTGGATGATGTAATATTCTACAGAACGAAATCCTTTTAAAACACCCCAAAACATGCCACTAAAACTTAGTAAACAAATATAATGAAGATTTTGGACACAAAGTCTACCTAGAAATGTTTCATTTCTATATGCAAGCAATAATCTATTTAAAATAAAATTAAGAAAATGGAGTCAATTCCAATAGAACAAAAATAATTGCACTTGTCAAAAGAATTGTGTATCTTTGCAGTTATGATGGTGGTTGAATTAAACCATATATTCACACAAAAATAACAGTAATTTACATTGATGGGCTGAATGTGACTGACTTTACCCAAACATGTTTGTATTGTCACTAAATTAATGTACATCTTCAATTTTAATGATCCTTTATCAAAATGTAAAGTATCCAGAAAAACATACAATATAGCAAACAACAATAATGATTCTGAAGGATTAAGAAGGAAACTGAAAGACAAGAAGATATGTTTGTTGTAGCTACCTACTACAACTGTCTTAACTTAATGTCTGTCAAGATTACTATTGCTCATTAATCCCAAACCCTGAAATATTTCAACAACCTGAAGACTAGGAATCTATCTGCATAGAAATGTGCTATAATGTAGCAGATTATGATTCTAATAATTATTGTAATATATTTTTAACATATTACTTGCTCCAACTTCTATGTAGGACCCACAAGATTTATTGCTACATATCAAATTACCTCCAACATTTTCATTGTGCATTGAGTGCTTTTTCTTATCTCTATTTTGACATGGTTCCAAGATTGAAATTGCCCAGCAGAAGTATTATTTCTCTCTTTTGTTCCACACTGGTATTTAAATGGATGTTTTCCTATGGAAAGTCAGAAGTTGCTACTGATAGGAACAAGTCAGTGCATAGCTGGAGTGTACTATTTTCAGATAAATATACAATACATTTCCCCTACTTATTTATATACAAAATTTATTCTATTTCTGGCAACATTTATGCTGATGTGAGTGAAGTCTTTCAATGCAGGCACTTTTTTTTTTTAACTGCTTGTCGCTGTTCATCTTATTCCTGCCTGCTGTTCTTTCCCTCTGGAGATAAATATTTTACATATCTGGAAATCTGAGTAACTGTTTCTCTGCCTGGAAAGTCTTTATCTGTACATATGTGGATAGAAAGTTAAACACATATATAGACATATGTGGAATACATATATATATATACATATATATGTATAATATAATATATATAATATAATGTATATATATTAGTTGGGCCCCAGTGGCCCACACTTGTAATTTTAACTATTCAGAAAGCTGAGAATTGTGGTTTCAAACCAGCTCTGGAACAAAAATTCATCAGACTGGCTAGCCAGGTGCTGGTGGATCACACCTGTAATTCTAGCTACTCAGGAGGCTGAGATCTGAGGATCACAGTTCAAAGCCAGCCTGAGCAAGAAAGCCCATGAGACTCTTATCTCCAATAAACCACCAGAAAACCGGAAGTGGCACTGTGGCTCAAGTGGTAGATCTCTGGCCTTGAGCTGAAGAGCTGTGGGACAGTGCCCAGATCCAGAGTTCAAGCCCCACTACTGACAAAAATATTTTTAAAAAATCATCAGTCTCTTCCTTCTAATTAACCACCAAAAAGTCAGAAGTGCATCAGGAACTATAGAGTACTAGACTTGAACACAAAAGCTCATGGAAAGCACTGAGGCCCAGAGTTCAAGCACAAGGACCAGCAAAACACACACACACACACACACAAACACACACACACACAACACATGTCTATCACCTTTCTGCCTGTATGTATTTTATCTAATGATATCTATCAAGCTGCAGGATATGTACATACATGCATACATACACATATATGCACGTATCTATTCAAATATTATCAGAAATGAGAATCTCCCATGTCATTTGGAGATTGAGAATCTATGTAATTCTGCCACAATGAAGTGTGTTTCTGGTGATAAATGAAGAGTTGAAAATTTTTCTTTTTTAAAATTTTTAAAAGATACTGAACCAAGGGGTTACTGTTACATGAGTAAGATAATGGGTACATATCCTATCAAGCATTGTTATCCTCCCTTTGTTTTTCCCCTTCCATCCCTTCCCTCCCCACCTCCCCAATTTCTCCCCCTCCCCAAATTATGTTAGTTTTCAACATAGTGTCTTGTAGATCTTATTGTTACAATGAGTCAACCTGTATCTTTGTTTCACCTTTTGGAAAACATACTGCTAAGGCTATGGAGGTAAGAGTGGTCTGTGCAATAAATCTGTTCAGCAATCCTTTGCTGATTATGTTTTTGCTTTTAGGTATGCCTCTTGAACTGATGAGTTTAAAAGCCTTAATGAGAGATGGATGATTAATCAGAGCTTTGAATTCATTTTTACATCAGGAAAAAGTTTCTTTGGTGGGACTAAAATGTTGTATTTCAAGTCCTCAAATCCTTAAAATGAGTTTGTGGAACTGAAGTTTACAACCTGTGATCATGGTTTGTTTAATGTCATGAAACTTAGATTTTGAACCTATATGCTTCATGAATCTTTTTGAGATCACTAAATGATGATAATATAGACCCTTTAGTGTAGTGAGTCATGTGTGGTAAAAGTCTTACTTTTTAAAATTATGATTGTTATTGATGCTGGTTCTCATCTTCTTTTATTTTTGTGATTTCTTCACTATATCCTCAACCATTTGTCCTTCAAATATCCATTTGTCACTCAAAAATACATATGTTGTACTTGCCAGTTAACATTCACCTTGATGTTATTTAATGCAGAATACTAGGGATCTCTATTTTTTATAAGACTTTCACGCAAGTAGAAGACAGAGCTTTGCAAAGCATCAGTTATGATAGCAAAAAAATCAAGAAACAACACACTAGTTAAAAGTCAGATTGATAGTACAGATTAGAAAAATATGGCAATATGATATGTGTATAAAAACTACCATTTTAAATATAAACACTGGTAAATCAAAAGTGCAGAGAGATTTGAGGCTATTATGCTAAGGATATATGCCAGTAAAAAATAAATACACATACTACTTTTATGTGTGCAAAACAGGCAAAGAAACAGAAATAAAAACAGGGCTGGCTGTGGTTCTATGCAAGCAGAGCTTCAGTTATCCAGGATGGATATTGACAATCCAAGTTACTGGACAGATAATGTTCTATTAACTTTGAAGTAATTGGAAGCATGCATTTTCAATTGATTCATCTTTTTATGCAAAAGAAGAGCAGTGAACTGGGAAAGATATGGATGTTAACACAAACTAAAAAATGGTTAGAGTACTTAAAATAATTTCATATAAAATAATATTCAGGAAAAGAATATATTTTAGGGATTAAGAGGAAAATAGTATAGTTATAAAGATGATAATTCTACAAGACCACAAAATCAAACTGACAGTAGAATGTCAAAACACCTGAGGCCAAAACCAGGTAGAATGGAAAAATAGACAAATTTACTCTTTAGAGGTAGAAATATCAACAAACTTGTATCAATAATTGACAGATCAAGCAGGCAGAAAATCAGCCAGAATACAAATGGCCTGAATGAATATATATAAATATATATGTATTACATATACTTGATAACTATAAAATAATTCTATAACCATCAGAACACATAATCTTCTTAAGCTCACATGAAAACATCATTAAAACAGATCACATTATAAGCCATAAAACACTATTAGCAAATATAACACAAAGCTTTCTCACAGAATTTTATGGAATTGAGTTAGAAATCAGTAAGTCTAAATTAGTGGAAAAATTGCAAATTGTTTGAAGGTTAAATAACACATGTCTGAACAATATATTTGTCATGAAAAAGTTACAGAAGCAATTTAAATAACATTGTCAACTAAATAAAATTCTTTAAAATAAAGTTATCAAATGTGTGGTGTACTTTTTCAAAGTGTTTGAAGAGAAATTTGTTAAATGTGCAAACAGAAAATAAGAAAAATATAGTCAAGGAAGCGCGCAGAGCCGGCCATGGGCAAGTCAGCTTCCAAAGAGTTTAATAATGAAGTCCTAAAGGCCCACAATGAGTACCGGCGGCAGCATGGAGTCCCCCCACTGAAGCTCTCCAAGAAGCTCAACCGAGAGGCTCAGCAGTATTCAGAGGCCCTGGCCAGCACAAGGATCCTCAAACACAGCCCAGAGTCGAGTCGTGGCCAGTGTGGGGAGAATCTAGCATGGACATCCTATGATCAGACAGGACAGGAGGTGGCTGATAGATGGTATGGTGAAATCAAGAACTACAACTTCCAGCAGCCTGGCTTTACCTCTGGGGCTGGACACTTCACTGCCATGGTGTGGAAGAACACCAAGACTATGGGAGTGGGGAAGGCATCTGCAAGTGATGGGTCCTCCTTCGTGGTGGCCAGATACTTCCCAGCAAGGAACATTGTCAACCAGGGCTACTTTGAAGAAAATGTCCTGCCTCCAAAGAAGTAATTTGTCCAATGGAATGGGAAAGTGGGAGACATAGGAATGCAGCTATTAAGTGCCTAGAACAATGAAAAAAAAACACAAAACAAGCCAGCTGCGAGTCTGTCCCTGTGGATATATGTACTTGTGTGTATGATGTGTGTATCTCCTAAGCACACACTTGAATGTATAGCTCTTGATGAACTCTTTCTTAAAGGAATTAATCAGTGTTAAAGAAATGAACATCGGAAGCGTTTATCTAGATGGTTACCCACACCACAATTGTATTCTGAGAGTTGGGTAGAGGGAAGGGGAACCAATTAATTTTTTTCTTTTTGTTGTTTTTAGGAGCCAATTTCTTTTGTACCTTTCCCACCCCCCCCATGTCCACCCTTGGACATTTTCTATGCCATATATTTGTAATGCTAAGAACTGAAGATCATCCTATGTGATTTTCATGCATTGAATTCAGTAGATATCTCAGAGTATTAAACCCTCATTTAACTGTGCCATAGAACAGCCTGCATTGATGACCTAGAGCAGCAGCCAGAGTTACTTCACAGAGTCAGTGAGATTTCTCAGTTGGAAGACATGAGGTCATCCACCATGCCTCCTGGGATTTGCTAATGGGATTGCCAACGAACAAATAGAGCAAAAGCTTTTCTTCGGAGCTCAATGTTACCCCTGGTTTCTGGGGAGTTGGACTAGGTCTGGAATGCACACATGCACACACACACACACACACACACACACACACACACTGCCCCCAGGTGGCCCAGGGGCCTTGTTCTTAGAGAGAGCACTTCACACTGCCTGGGAAACTAGCCAGGAGGCTTGGAGGATGAAGTCAGTGGTATGAGGGTGAGGGTGACCTCACCCAGGGCCCCTGGGGGGAGCCCTCCAGACTCTGCCCTACCCCCATCTTCGAGGCCCCTTCCTGGCAGCTGTGGCCGCAGCTGTGCTGCTGCTCGCTCCTGGAATGTGTGACTAGCCCAAACGATCCTGGGTGGTGTCCCAGACAGGGGCTTAGAAATGCTCATTTGTTCTGTGTTTTGCCTTAAACTATACGAAGTCCCTCCCGAATAGCAGTTTTACAATGTCTCTCTGGGATAGATCAACCCAGATGCCCAACTGAGTATCCCTGAACCAAAGCTTCTCCATCTGCCAGGTTAGCAGGGGCCCAGGGAGAGAGCTGTTAGCCAGTCATTGAAACAGCTTCTTGAAAGTCTAAGTTGAACTGTGAACACAGTCTTGTGCTGTACCCTTCATTTCATCCAGGGATATTGACTAATAAAACAATAAAATCTTTTCTTTTGTGTAAAAAAAAAGAAAAATATAGTCAATTATTTAAATGATTACCTTATTAAGTAAAGGAAGAACAAATTAAACCTATAGTTTACAGAAAAAAGAAATAAAATAAAAACACCAGCCAATGGTGTGAAAACAGGAAAGTAAAAGAAAACTCAATAACACATACTTGTAAACTAAAGACATAAAATTGATAGTAAATTTATCAACAAGAAGGAGAGAGACAGACAGACTGACAGACAAAGAGAGAGGTACAGGATGTATGCACATAAATCCTGTGAATCTCATCCAAATGATACAAGTCTTATGACTCATCAAGGAAACATCTAGTCACTGCTACCTATCAGTTCTTAATCTGCCATCCACAGATTTAAATACCGTTATGATGCCATTTCTCAGAGAGGCCAGATAGCCACCTGGTGGTGACTTTGTTAAGGAAAACTTGAGTCCTGAATCTATTTTTAAAGGAATAGATGTGTAGATCTGGTAAGTTTGTTGTTGTAATCTACAGATCTTCAAGAAACACTAGTACTTGCTACTTACGAAGTTCCTTATCTACAAACATTAAATTGCATACAATATTTTACAGTGAAGGAGCTGCAGAAGTGGCCTACAACCATGGGTTCCATATGTTGCAGAAGGCAATGCAAAATTCACAAGCAGCATACTGAAATATTAGAATGACCTACTGAAGATAACTGAGAAGACACATTAAGAGTTAGGTAATGACAAGGAGTTCAAGACCAGTCAATCATTCACCATGAAGTCCTTGTACTCAGACACCAGGCAGGAAGAGGTGTCAGCCCCATCATGGAGTAATTGGCCTGATTATCTGGAGGATACCCAATGAATGCAGAACTCAGTCATCCTGCTGGAGTGTGTCTAACTTTTCCATTGTCCAACAAGGAATAGGACAAATATTATAAACCTATTTGAGAAGTAAATAATTGATGGGGACTCACTTTCTCCAACAATGAGAAATTGATCAAAATTCTAAGCAAGATTCCAAGGCCAACAGAGACAATGAGAAGACATGGAAATTTTAATTTGATGAAGGGGAGTATATCAGTATTAGATAGGATCCTGTACCCAATTGCAGAGTTGAAAATGCCATATTTCCTTCTATTGGATTCCAAGTCTTACTCCAAAAAGTAAGCCTAGTAAGTCACTGAGAATTATTTCCCCTCCACCACATTTGTTGCAAGAAATTGATCCCAATGGAATTAGGGTAGATAATTACAGCCAAGGAGTCTTCTGCTCAGATCTCTCTGCTTTTGTACAGCAAGGATCTGCTTTACCATCCAACTTTCCACCTGAAGCCACTCTACCAGAAAGTCTTGAAAGAAAGAGCATTTATAAAGCTAATAGAACCAGGCATTTCTGCCTTAGATAGGACAGATATGATGAGGTAGTCCAGCCAAATTCTTATCCTGCATGTCTTACAAATATCAGATCACCACACAATTTACAAAACTTTCTTAGCCAATTATATTCCACCCACTGTTTATTTGTTTGTTTGTTTGTGTGCCAGTACTGGGGCTTGAACTCAAGGCTCCACAACCTGGCTTCGATTTTTTTCTCAAGGCTGTCTCTCTGTCACTTGAGTCACATCTCTAATTCTGGACTTATGTTGGTTAATTGGAAATAGGAATCTTTCTGATTTATCTATCAAGGCTAGTTTCAAACCCAAATCATCCAATCTCAGCCTCCAAATTGTTAAGATTACAGGCATGAGCCACCAGCACCTGTCCTCCACTTTATTTTTAAATAATGTATCTTTGTTCTCTTTACCTATTTCTTCCCAGAAGACCCAACTGATATACCCTTGAAAACAAAATCATTAAAATAAACAAAACTGTTTTAAACACCTAATAAATGAATAATTTTTTCTGCTTATATAAATGGTCTTCATCATTTTTAGTACCTAACAGGAAAATTTTAGTAAAAACTTTTAGTAAAAAAAAGGGAAATGAAATTATTTATTTAAATTGATAAAATGTGATCATTTTAATTCTGTTATAAGAAGGCATTTCAAAAAAAAAGCATTAGAAAGAATGATAGCACATTGAATGTTCCCCATGGCTTATTTTTCATATATAATTTCTATTCTTCACTAAGTCAATTTGCCTTGAACAAATTAAGGTAATTTGTTTGGAAATGATCTCTACCATTCAAACAGAAAAAAATATCAAATAAAAGAATATGTATTAACCTTTCTTGAGTATTAATGCTCTATCAATATGGAAAATTGTTGAGTAACACTATGCCATATTTATCTCCAGCAATGTCATATCTCCAATTGTAATATTGCCATATGACAATCATTGCCAGTATCGATCTATTCCACTAGCTCAGAGCTGGGTAATCTATAATCAACGATCTTTGGTCACATGAATAAAGCACAGTACAGAAGCACATGGAGAAACTGATGGGAATACAAGCACTAAGAAGATATTTTAGTCCAGTGTTAAATCTCCTCATTTCTTGTCCATATTTTTCTTTAATCCACAGTGCTTTTCTGTAAATTCATAGCTTTCTTTCATTGCAAAATGTGTCTTGGGAAGTCCAGCAGCAGAACCTACCCTACTGGATGTAGCTAGATCACAAGCTAAGTTTGCTCTAGTGAATACTAAATGTGAGGGCTGTTTCCCAGACAAACGAATTAAGGAGAGGGCACTGGGCTGGCCAAGACTTTGTCTCCAGCCTCTGCTGTGATTCTTCTCTGACCTTGTCAGTTGAAAGCTCAACACTGATGTTTATCACCTTCCATCTCAGGGACCATACTCCTTGAATTTTTACTAGGAACTTTATGTGACTTTATACACTTCACAGACCCATTTCTGTAGATTTTTCATGCCTCTTTGATTCACCCCATTATTGGTAGTATTTCTGTCCTCAAAAAAATATACAAGTTCAAAAAATAAAACTGCTCTCAGTGTGGCAGTTTCCAAATAAGCAAATCTATGAAGACTCTTTTCATGTCATGTATTTATAAGAATAATTTGTTCCATTTTAGACTTTTTCTCAGCAGTTGCTATCTTCCCTGATTCCCTAGACTCTACATTTTATTATAGCCATATTTCTTTGACCATTTTTAGTTCCTCTTACCTTAGAAATAAGATTTTTCATTGAGATGCCCATCAGATAAATATTTCCCACCAGACACATATTTATTAAAGTTACATTAGAAAACTAAATTGGTGTCATACTGTGGACCATAAGAGATGCCAGAAGCAGTGTTTTCATGGGCACAAACCTGCAGTTTGGGTGTTACTTGGCAAAAATATAAGATCACTCCCATTACTTAGTGGATATCCCTTTAAAGTTTTCTAGAATTATTTTCTGAAGGAAGGGGGACATGCAGAGAAGCAATAGACCCTTAGACTGGCATCTCCCTTACCAGCCCCGTTATAAATGGAGATGTCTGTGTGGATACAGAAGGAAGCACTGTCTCTCAGCAGCTATTATTCACCATGACACTTGTTTGTCAATACTTTGTTTCTTATGATTCTTCTGATCATGTTTTAAATGTAAACTATTCAGTCAGGTGCTTGTGGCACAAGTCTGTTAGCCTAGCTACTCAGAAGTTGGATACTCCCGATAGAGGATAGAAGATCCTTTGATAGAGGATCAAAGCTAGTACAGGCAGGAGAAAAAAAGCCTATAAGGCTCTTATCTCTAATTAATCACCAGACAGCCAGAAGAGGAGTGTGGATCAAGTGGTAGAATGCTAAAGGACAGTGCCCAGGTCCTGTGTTCAAGCCCCAGGATGGAAACACACACACACACACACACACACACACTGAATTGTTCTATATCA